ATAAAAAATGCATATAATGACTCAAGAAAATCAGTTTTAATTCAAAATTTGATTATTGGGGCCATTTTTACCTACCTGTCATATGGGGCCATTTTTACCGTGGCCATTTTTTCCAGGGCCATTATTTCCGGGGCCATTTTTTCCGGGGCCATTCTTACCGTACACCTGGCAACTTGATTAATACATATATTCCTATATGTTAAGTTGTGTTAATCATAGGGAGTAAAAAATACACAACTCCTTATATTATACTATGCCAATATACTGAAACTCTATAATCTATGTAGGGAGCCACACATAATGCTGGTGTCATCAAATATTAAAGTTTGTTTAGAGAAATATGTACATGTTGTAGGAAGCCTTATATATCTAATTTTGTTCTTGGGTGACAAAGTGATAATGGGTGCCGCTTTTTTCAAAGTGAACCCAATAAATCGTATAGTATAGTAGACACTTAACTCACTTAACTTTGAACACCCAAGATTTAAATAAGAATAAATAACACCCATTCTTCCTACATTCATCCTTATCACCTTGTGGTTTCTAAATTTGGCTAAAGGTTACCATGGCAGTTAATCGCTTTTCCTTACACTCAGAGTAAGGTTGGTAACAAAATCTACTAATAGTTCAGGGTAGAGAAATGATAAGCCTGTTGCTATGACTGCAGTTACAATTATTATTATTATTATTTTTATTATTAGTTCCTATGCATGTAATGCATAGGAACTATTGTAATCACTCTTCATTTTCCTTTGTTAGTTCCTATGCATGTAATGCAATAGGAACTATTGTAATCACTCTTAGTCACATTTCTTTTGTTTTTTATTGTGTGTAGTGTGTGTGTGTGTGTGTGTGTAGACATTTATGCAAATGCGCATGCGTCAAAGAAAAGTTTTCCGACATTTTGTTTTACATCGTGATGGGAAGATCGATGTGAAGTTTTTGCAGAGTTCAGTCAGGACTCACGCTAACCGACCGGAAAGTCGGCATGGATGAAACTATTTTGGTTTTACGGCACAAAAATTCAACTGCTGTAGGCATAGGTATTTTGAAGAAGGCCTAAAATAAAACTAAAATGTTTTAATACTTGCTGAAATACATCGTTTTTTCATTTAGATCTCCTTTTTCCACTAAGTCCATGCGACGTTTTTTTCTGTTGTATACGTATGAGTAGTCATGAAGGTACTATATCCCCGACAGTTGCCTGTGCAGCAATGTACCTTTTTAATGCAAACTGAAAACAGGTGAAAATATAAAGGCAGCCGACTGTCGGGTACATAACGACTATCTAGCTTTCCACAAAAACATGAGGCCTAAGCTAGGCCTAGTTCAGTATTACTGCGATGCAAGGGTAGGCCTAGTTAGATCGTTCAATCAATGATATCGTGTTATCGTGTTGTCGTCTAATACAATTAAATAATGTGTGTAATATTTAAGAATGCACCACGTTGGTCGCTTTCTTTGTTATGCGGTAGTAGTATACGTAGCAGAGCGACGACATCAAGCTAAGCCTAGTCCAGTTCCTAGATCGTGTACGTTCTTGATAATCGTAATGAAAACTTCGGGTGACACACGATTGGGCCCAACTGGTGTGGACGATCGGACCCAAGATAGCTTCAAATAAATTGTAGTCCTAGTAGGCCACTGCCACCACCCCCACTCCTGATATCGTTCCAAACTACTGTAAAATGAAATTACTATATACCTAGCTAGGCCTAGGCCCTATGCCTACGAAATTTTTTCAAAGAAATTTGCTAAAAATATTACTGTAATTTGCCTGTCGAATTACATTACCAATGTGGTCTAAAATCACTATTTTGAGCCATAAAGACTCCCCCTGTATTTTTCAACCACCACACAA